TGCGTTAACAAATTGAACGTGGGCGCAGCAAATACGATAATCGATTCGGTTGCAATTGCATATTTGAGCGATTTAAAATTCAAAACTAGACATGTTTGAATAGATTGGCGTGCGACAGATTAGGCGCCACGCCTAGATAGTTGTGGAATGAATTCCAGATAAATAATCATTGACAAACCGTGAGAACGTCAGAAATTCGACGTAGTAATACTACCCGACCAGGTAGTAAGCGTGGGTGTAGCAAGCTCGGGATTAAAAATCGATCAAACAATAGAAAGGCAACAGGGGGGGAGGAAGTATGTTGATCCTGATAAAACTTTGATGTTTACTGGTACAATCATAATTAACGATCAAACCAACATGTAAGGCTTAGGATCACGTTCCTGGTTTTCCGGCCTGAAATTGCTGAAGATGTCTGGCGTCCGTTTTGGCGGGAGTCCAAGCCAGACGTGACGTCACTGGCAAAAGGGACGGAGACAGTCGCAAAGCAGCAACATTGGCACTACTATCGGGTTATCTCCGTCGGGTGTAGCGTAAAATGCAGCGTACTACTGCATACATAAATGCATCGTGCAGTCAATAGAAGCTGCATTGCGCAAGGTGAGCGCGCACACGACCCGTTTCTAGTAATTTACAGCGAAATTTGCACATTTGCTAGTACGATGACATCGTCGAAGACAAAATCGGCGTGGGCTCTCGCCGACTAATTGATAAGAATAGAAAAAAAGTGTTTCGGTTGTCTCATTCATCCGGCCATGAATGGCGGCGCGCTTTAGGCTCGCAAATCGTTCAAGGTATATTGTCCAAGTCTGGCCCAGTTTTGAAAGCAAACAACAAAATTTCAAGAGTGGAGAAAAGCCGCAGACGAGAGGCTGATGAACTCGATATTGAAACCTTGATGGTTGTACACGGTGCGTGCGAAAGACAGTACAGTCCACTTCCACGGCTCAAGAACGCAGTCCTCTCGAGAACAACGGCTAGACCGTGAAGGTCTCGCCTCGCTGAACGAAACAAACGAGACCTTCTTCTTAATGAGAATCTTCATAACCCATTCACCTGAGAAATGCTCACTTAAAAGCCCAAACTGAAATAATTTACTCGAAATAAAAGTTTCTTTCCCAGTGGATGATTATGAAATGCCATGAAAAATACTAATGAATGATTATTATTAACATTTTAACCGACTAGCATGAGACAAGAATAAAACGAAGAAAAAGTGCTAACCAATGATTTCCGAAGGCTACGCATACAGACGCAAAAAAACCGCATCGACCTTGCCAAGCGGAATTGGTTTTGGCGGGAAACGAGCAAACTGTAACAAGATAGTAACTGGAAGAGAAAGAAGACCGTTGAAATAGTTGGTAGACTCGAACCGAAAAAAATGGAAACGTAGAACAACCCACTAAAAGTTTCAAACACCTTTTCTAGGTCACACAACAGTTCGATAAGCATTTGCGGCGTATAATATCGCATTTACTTCTTGTAAATAAACTGCGCAGTTATTATTGGTTCGATACCTGTCAAGCAACGAGTAAAAAACTGTTATTACAAATAATGACCAAGGATAAAGGATAAGGCATACAAGCTGTTCCATTTTTTTGCACATCTACACACATCACGCAACGCCATAGTAAACGTAGTACAATTTGAAACATTTTTTTTCCTTTCACCACCAGATTAAAAAGTTGTAAGAATGCAAGTAACAAGTGACATGTTCTTGCCCCATCAAAGATATGGCGCTAAACTTTGGACTTGGATCGCAATCGATCAAAAACGAACGGATCAAGGCGTGTGTAGCAACAGCTGAGAGAGTGAATGTGGTAGGCGTTCGACCTAAACAAGGCGATGTCTGGATGTGGAGAGCCTAGTGAAGGCTGTCTACGTACAGTGTGAGTCATTGCAACAAAGCGTTGAACGCCAGCCTCTGCATCCGTCCATTTATGTCTTGGGATACAGTTAACGTCGCAGCTACCATTTATGGATAGTCGGGGTGCAAATCTTCGAGTAATTGTCCCCAAGTCTAGACTCCAAGACAATTTTTTTATCGGTTACAACCACTGATCAGCAGGAATGGGTCCTGAATCCTCATGGAACCATTCACTATCCGCCGTGATCGTCCACGTTTAACCCAAATGGAGTTCATTCATACTCGACCTACCGTAATGTACATCGTACGCACCTATCGCAGACTCGTACCGGTCGCATTATCGTATTCAGTCGCGCATAAACAAACAATTCGACATTAGGTTATGCCGATCTACGATAACTCTCCACGGAACTCCCTTATCAAGCAAGATTACTACTACTCTTTGACTTCCTCGCTTTTCAACCGCCAAGGTTACATTTCCTTCCATCCGGAAGCTCAATCACTAAATCGAGTGACAAAATAGGCTTTGTGCGATTTCATTCATGGCTTGGTAAATTCAAATGTAACTTTTACAACAGATCATTAAATTGGATTTTCCCAAGGCTGGCCGTCATTCACATGGTGAACGCAGTAGTTGCATGCCAACCAGGGTCGTGGCATACACCTAATCGATCCTTTTATTATTACACAACAAAAACCACGCCATCATTTACATTGATAATCCATCTCGAGTCCAGATTCTCTACATTTCAGCGATGGAAAACTCGCAGACACATTTGTAATGGGTATCACTAACAGACAAAGCCGGCCAGACTCTGTATTAAAATACCCTGACCCAGTTTCTGGCAGTCTGGCGACCGCAGAAACCGAGAATAACCAGCTACACCCCGAAAGTCACGGATACCAATCCACCGAATTAGCATAAGACCGTAATTATACCCGCGCACATCAACGAGATTAACGCAGACCAAACAAACATTTTAGACACATTTTGACCCAAAAACACACATCCGGATGTTCTGAAAATAGGCAGAGTTCAGATAAAAATAAAGAAACGAGTTTTTTCATCACTGTCAATTGCATCAATTTCAAAGCAGACAAAGGAACAATAAAACAAAAACATAAAACCAAAGTATAAAATAAGAAGGGTCGAAAAATATAAAACCAAAATAATGCTGTGCCTGCAATTTTTCGACGGTTACTGACCCAAGCCAGGCCTCCGGATATTCTAAAATATTCTGAAAGATACGCAACATCTGTGGCCAGACAGAAATGCTAAAAAGTGCAAGATGAAAAAATAACAAAAACCAAACCAAAAAACTGAAAATTCTTAAACCATTGAGGATTTTTTGAATTTTTGTGCAATCACTACCTGCCTACATAGGTTGAAATATAGATAAAAGCCTCGATGTAAAAATAAAAAAAAATTAAAAAAAAATAAAAAATATTTAAAAATGTTATTACAATTTTTCTATTTGTTAATAAAAGATTGCGAAAGAACAACCACCATATAACTGTGACCAGTCACAAATGTAAAAAGAGCTCTTGTAACGCTAAAAACTGGAGTAAAATAAAAAGAAAACGATCAAAACAAAGGAAAAAATCAAACCATATGAAAAAAAAAAAAACATAAAAAGAGTGCATTTCGGATCTTGCAAATATTTGAATTTTCGTGCAATTACTGAAATATCTAATGGTAAGGAATCGACGAATCGACAAATAATACAAAAAAAATATCCAACAAAAGGGTTTAAACAATGGAAATGAAAAAAAAGACTAAAATAAAAAAAAGTGAAACATTAAAAACAGGGTAAAATAAAAAGGCGAAAAATAAAAAAAAATGCTATAATACAAAATTTCGGGTTGTATTACGATCTGATATTGAAAAATATTCAGAAAGAGTAACACAAAATGTAATCCGTCTGAAAAAAAAAACATGACTTTTAATGCATTTCAGATCTTTCACTAGGATGAATTAAAGATAAAAATATAGGTACATAAATTGGTGTATAAAGAAAAGGAAAAACGATCCAACAAGTGGATTCAGACAAAAAAATGTCAAATAATTTGAACGTAAAATGAAACTTTGCGATAAAAATGTGTGCTATGATTTCGTGGGTTTCAAAGCTTCTGGAACTTGTTTCGTAGAAAAATGAAAGAACAATTGTCACAAAACCAATGAACGACGTCTGCAATTGCAACCAAATCGGAAACTCAATCTGCAAGACTCAAAAATCCTCTCTTGAATGAATCTATCCGTTGGATTTAAATGTCTGGGACATTTAAACTCCCAGCAGCAGCGTACAATGTGCGTCCGGCACGATGAACAACATCCGTGAAGCGAAGCATACATACAACAATCAGCTGGTGGCCGTGCTTTGTGATTTCGTCGGCTCTTTAAACTTGTTTGTCTTGGATGTTTTCTGGGCAGTGACCTTCATTGCGGCACCAACTCCTCGTTACACTCACTCTACGCTGCCGTTTCTAATCGTTTATCTATCAAGACACGCAAACGCCAGACAAGTGCGTGCTTTTAAACTGTCAAAAATCATTCGAAAAGTGGACCTTCGTGTCGAACCCTTGTTCTAATTTAGGGCTTACCGACTGGGAAGGATTTACTGACTTATCGACGTTTGTGTCTGTTAATTAGCCTGCCACCTGTCATAATTTACGTCTATTACCAGAGGCCATCTGCTTTCGAATAATAATTACACGTTGCTATATCGATACAGCGCTATTTTAGTTTAGACGGGTTTAAAAAAAAAGTTATGTCCAACGGTGTGTATACATTATTTAATCTAATAGTCATCCGAAAATAACTTTGTCTAGACAGTGCCGGCCGTGAAATACCAACAGTACAACAGACCCGCGATCATATGATCACCTATTTTTACTCTTTGATCAGCTGGTGCGCATCAACGAAATTATTTCAGCTCGGAAAAATGAAACCAAAGTGACGCCGTATTTCCTGTCCCATTTCCTTTTTTTTTCGAGATTCCATCATCGTAACATTAATAGATAATAATAGTCATTAAAACGCGATCTAAAAAACGTACACATCGTATTGTTGCGTGATGACAACAAACGGACGGGAAGCAATTTTGTGAAAAAATCGCGTGAGACAAGCACCTACCTTGCTTAATTTTTCTCCCTCGTGATGCGGCAACAAGGACCTTAGAGATTGGAAACCATTATTTATGCTCTGCATCCTCCGCCTTTCGTTGCTGTTGGCGATTTCTCTTCTGATTCTCTTTTCGGCCTCCATCGTCGCTGTGGGTGGTTCACCGCCTTTGTTTATTCGACTGCGAACAATGAGAATGTTTTAATTGCTAATAAAGAAGAATCGTCGCTCATTAGCATCGGCATCTTCAACCACGACTTATTGTCTGGGAAAAAGCAACCCCTACGCATGGCTTCACCGGCTAATAAAGAAATTACTAAATAATAAATTAACCTAATCAGATAGGGAAGCAACAATTTTCCATTTAACGAACTTCTCCCTTTCAACGAAAAAAATTTTGTGTACCAAACAGCTGCTCGAATTCTCTCATACAATTTTCAGATGGCTCGTAAGTAGGACGACGTCCTTTTCCGAAAACATTAATAAATTAAGTCACGCTGCTGCTTTCTAGGCCGGCGCATCCACCAAAACATAAATCAGGTAACTGCGACTTAATAAACGATAACAACAAGGTTAAACAGATGTTAACAGATCGTCTGGTCAATTGCGTAATACTTGTTATGAGTAATTTTTGCCGCAAACAGGTAGAAAACAAACATTACGAAATTGATAATTAGGTTGTCAGAATAACAAAAGTAAAATTCCCCGTTTGTGGTGCATACACATTTTTACGTCGTATCGTGCGATAAACAAACAGAAATTATGCCATTATGGATCGATTCCTAGCTGCGTGACAAACGAGTGGATATCGTGACGATTTTCTATCAAGACGAAAACGAACTCTGATTGAATGAAACGGAAAAAGTACGACGTTTCCGATACAAGTGCACTGTTATGGGAAACCGAAACCGCACCATTATTGACGTTATGTAACACTAAAAACGTTCTTATGTTAAATAATTCCACGTAGCAGGCATTGTCGCAATTAAAAATGACCCTTCCTCACAGGATATTACGAAATTAGACGTTTCATCAAGACAAGCAATAACAATATTTTCGTTTACTTAGTCAAGACTCGTCTTATTTAAACACCTATAAGGTACCGGTGGGTAGTGAGGCCCCCTCGTCGTAAATGTGTTTTATTTGACGAACTAGTTACGTCAACGTAATGAATATTTTATGAGATCTTTGGAAATTAACACCAAATTCGAAAAAACCCAGCAGAAATGCACTATTTTGAAAGAATCAGTAGCTTCAGACACGTGTGTCTTCCCCTACCCTATTTTTATGCTCACACTGACAGCTGCAAAGGTTTTATAACCATTTTTTCATGTTTACCCCAAAAAATCCATTACATTGATTGTAATTTTATATCTATTTCGATTTTTGCAAAAATAAAATGTTCGATAACAAACAAAAATAAGTCACGTGTTTTCTTTTTTTTTTTGGGGAAAAAATTAAACGCTAAGTTATCAAACTAAATAATATAAAAAATGTATACCTTCCAATTATTGTGGCCATACATACAATGTATTTTTTTTAAAACGAGCCACCCTAGATATCTCATAAAATAAACAAAAATTAAAAAATCCCGAAAAAGTTCAAGTTTTATTTACAGGGGGACACGTTTTAGTGTACTTTTTATGTAGTATAAACCCCTTTGTAATACATACAACCCCTTCAAAATTTTAAGTGGCACCACCCCCTTTGTGACACCTCAGAATAAGATATTTTGACCACGAATTTGGCTGTTTATATTGTTTGAGTTTTTCTTATTTACGTTACACAGAACAAGATCAAATTACTAAATATAAAAGTGCAGGGATATAGCTATGAGACAACGCCTGCATTGACCGACAATAATCAAATGCCAAAAAATTAAAAATTAACATATCTCAAGATTTTCTATTTTTTTTTTTGTTTTCTGAGACATTTAGGGGAGTTTAAAAAAAATGACCCTGTATGTAAATATAATAATTTTGACTGCTTAATGTCTTAAGAGATAAAAATTTGTTCCACTTTTTTTACACATAGCATGTCTTATTTTAATATTTTGCATTCCTACTTAGCGTTTAGAATATTTTACTTAGCAAATCAGTGTTACATACCAGGTGAATAAAAAATATGGAACCAAACGTTTTTTGCTTAAACTATTTATTTTTAGAAAAAACTAATTAATGAATGTAAATGTATTATAACAATGTGATGTTTTATCAAGAATAAAATTTTTCGAAATTTTCTTTTGTTTTTGAGTTCTACAAAAAAATATTTTTTTTAAATGACAACCCATTATAAAGCCATTTTTTTCATAAACGTTATGATCCAAAGATTACAAATATCTACTTTATATTTAATTAAAAAAAAATTACATAAATTGCAATTTTGACAAAAAAAAAAACGCATAGCTCAAAAACAAAACAAAATTTCGTTCGCAAAATATGATCACATTTTCTATATTACTTTAATTTATATTAATTATTAGGGAGTTACCGCACAGCATACGATACGCTATCGGCTACGAAAACGATAAAAATATTAAAATGCGCATGCGTCGTGTGTATCGGAACCATAAAAGTTTTCGGTATCGTATGGGATTATGATAACTTTAAAAGTTATCGGTCTTTGTTTTCGTTACGATAATCACATTTTGTGACATATGTGACGTTTAGTGACAGTGATAATTGCACTGACATTTTTTAGTTTTTGAGCTAAAACAACGACTTCTAATATTTCTTCCATATTATGAGCACACATTAACAATACTAACATTATTCGCTCAGATTTTGAAGTTTTTTTATGGGTGCCCGAAAAATCATTGAGGTAACTATTTTTGCCAATTTCCGATACAACTATACACGATAACTTGTCACGTGATCTTTATTGTTTTCGGAAATTTATCGTATGCTGTGCGGTAACTCCCTATTATTTTGTGGAGTCAAATGATTTAAAAAAACGCTTGGTTCCATACCTTATATTCAGGCTGTACCTACACTTAGCATTTTATTACTAGCCTTTTTTTTTCAAAAAATTGTGAATACGCGGTTGTATAACATAATACCAGGTGAAGAGAATGTATGAAACTTAACCATTTTTTATTAAATGTGGACATTTCCCACAAATAAACTTCTTAAAAAATTTTTGTTTCTAAGTTCTGTAAAATTTTATTTTTTTTCTAATGGGAACCAACTATTAAACCTTTTTTTAAGACTAATCTAAGGATTAAAGTATCCACATTTATTCAACTTTTATCGATTTTTTTTTATATAAGTTGTTATTTTGAAAAAAAAACGCATAACTCAAACACTAAACAAAATTTCATTATTAATACACTTTTTATAGCACATTTTCACATTTTTATAGCACTTT